TGAGTTCCAGGAAAGGCGCAAAGCTACACAGAGAAACCCTGTCTCGAAAAAAAAACAAAAAAAAACAAAAGCAAAAACAAAATTCAGTTCTAAGACTAGCAAGACTGCTCATCTGGTAAAGGTGCTTGCCACCAAACCTGACAACTGAATCTGTTCCTGGCCCCACGCGAGTTTGACCCAGTTCTCACGAGTTGTTCTCTGACCTCCAAGACTACAGATGCCCACAGAGACACACTGAATAAGTGTTGTGACAATATAGCTTTTTTCAATTAGATACATTATATGCCTATTCATATAGTAAATTGATATATTAAATTAATATACATGAAATATATGTAAAAAGTATTAGATTTACATATTGTATTAAATATATATAAAAAGTATTAGATTTATATATTTAGTTATATGTTATATTTTTATATATAACATATTGGCATAATATTTATATATTATATTAAATATATAAATCTAATACTTTCTTATATCTTAGTCAAACTAAAAATGAAATGATGGGTCAAGGTGGCACTGAAGGCGAAGAAGTTTCCTGCCCCTTCCAAGGCTGTAGCCAAAGCAAAGGCCTTGAAAGCCAAGTGCTGCTGAGAGCCATCCACAGCCACAGAAAGAAGATCCACATGTCACCCACCTTCCAGAGACCCAAGACCCCGAGGCTCCGGAGGCAGCACAAATGCCCTTGAAAGAGAGAGCCCAAGAGAAACACACGAGCACTATGCTGTCATCAGATTGCCCCAGACCACTAGGTCAGCCATGAAGAAGACAGAAGACAACAAACTCACTGTGTTCATTGTGAATGTCAAGGTCAACAAGCACCAGCGTACGCAGGCTGTGGAGGAACTCCATGACACTGATGTGGCCCAAGTCAATACCCTACCAAGGCCTGCCAGAGAGAAGGAGGCCTGTGTTTGGCAGGCTCCTGATTATGATGCTCTGGATGTTGCCAAGAAAACTGGGATCGTCTAAACTGAGTCCGGCTGGCTAATTCTAAATACATATGTTTCCATCATAGGAAGGAAGGGAGGGAGAGAAGGAGGGAGGGGAGGAGGGAGGGAGAGAGGGAGGGAGAGAGGGAGGGAGAAAGGAAGGAAGGAAGGAAGAAAGAAAGAAAGAAAGAAAGAGAAAGAAAGAAAGAAAGAAAGAAAGAAAGAAAGAAAGAAAGAAAGAAAGAAAGAAAGAAAGAAAGAAAGAAAGAATGTTTATTAGTATCAAAAATTCTGGCTTAACCTGCTAGGCATATTAGAAAATCAGAAGTCTCTGAAAAATGATAGTAAAGGCATTTTTTAAAAGGTATAAGTAAGTCTACAGATGAAAAAAGACTTGGAGAATACTGCTGACAAGGAACGCTGAAGAAAAGAATCTGCATGCCTCCACATCTACTGTTAGTCATGTTAGAAGTGGCGTCATCTTCAACTGGTGAGTCAGCACCCATTCCAAGCGTAAGAATAATTGCAGGCATTTATCAAGTGACAGTCCCTTTTCAAGCACAGCCTCACCTAATCCTCTCAGCACCACAGGTGAGTATCACTACTGCTCTCACAGTACGGAGGAGGAAACCAAGGTTTTCTAAAGGTGATCGGCACCTTTAAGAAGGCAAAGTTAGGATTCAATCTACGTAGATATTTTTCCAAAGGTGATTGACAATGATCAATAAGGACACAAAAAGAGGTCTGGAAAGATGGCTCAGTGGTTAAGAGGGTGTACTGCTCTTTCAGAGGACCCGAGTTCAATTCCTGGCTCATACATGAGTGCAGCTCGCAACATCCTGTAACTCCAGCTCAAGGGCCAACGCCCTCTTCTTGGTCTGACCTCCACGGGTCCCTGTACATGTACAAATCATGCCATTTTTTCTTTTTCTTTTTCTTTTTTCTTTTCCTGATGCTTATATATTTACTACCAGACATTTCCTTCCAGTAGGCATGTGGTGACAAGCCATTTGATTTCATGTGCATTCAAATAATGGTTCATGATATCAGCTGGTTTTCATTATTGAACAGGCCATGAAAACCTAGATAAATCGGCCTTGATCATGGTGTGTAACTCATTTACATGTTATTGAATTTTGTTTGCTAATAATTTGGTAAGAATTTCTGAGCTAATTTTCTTGAGAAAGGGTTGATCCGTAGTTCTCATTTTTGTACTTTGATCCTGGCAACAGAAGAGCAGCTATCTGAAGTGAGTTATGTTTACACTTTCCAGGAGGTGACTGTGTGATGATTGTGCTAATTCTCAAGACTAGAAGGGATCTCCAGTGAAACTACCTGAGAGTTAAGATTTCTTTCCAAGGAGTTTTTAAATTGTGATTTCAATTTCCTTAATAGTTTCAGGCTCTTCAAGATATCTACTTTCTGTTGGGAGGATTATAGTCACTTTTATTGTACGACTGTATTTACCCATGTTTTGTTTAATGCAACAGTTCTCAACCTTTGGGGGTCGCATATTAAATACCCTGCATGTCAGGTATTTACATTATGATTCATAACAGTATCAAAATTACATTTATAAAATAGCTGGAGCAATGAAATAATTTTATGCTTGGGGGTCACCACAGCAGAGGAACTAATTGTATTAAAAGGTCACAGCATTAAGAAGGTTGAGAACCATTGGGTTAATGTCTTTCTTGGATCCCGTGGTTCCTGTAATCCTTCTTTTACAATTTCCTCTTTAGAGAACTCCATTTAAATATTTTTTTTTTTCTTCAGAAAAAGTCCACTGTGTGGGAGGCCCGCTCCCACTTTTTCCCCCAGGGTGCTCTTGAGGAGGGTGAAGTGAGAAATATTTAGACAGAAGGATAGAGGGGAGAGACAGATGCGCACACACGGGATGGCTCAGGAGGGCCTGGGTCCTTATCCACCCGGCGCTCCTGTCTCTTCTAAAGAGCTATGTAGAGGAATGCCAAGGGGTGGGGCAAAGACCTTTCCCTAGCTCGGCCAAGTGCAGACACTTCCAATCACCTAGTAACCATGCACATGGTCAGGCAATTCTCTAACGCAGCCCTGCTGGGTAAAGCAAGCTCAGATCTCACTAGGAAACCTCTGTGGGCCCCCACACCACTGGTGACAAATATGTTTTAGTTTCATCTAAGAATGTCTTCACTCATCTTTCCTTCTAAGGACTCTTCTGTTGGGTTTGGGATTTGACTGGTAGGGTTTTTCCTTTTGAGTGAGTTTTTTTTGGTTTATTTTTCCTTTCTGCATGTGGCAAGATGTGGCATGCCTTCTTTGTGCCTCTAGGGTGGCTGAAACTCCTGTCATTTGGATTCTTCTCCCCTGTGGGGAAGGTGCCATTTCCTGCTGCCTTCCAGATTTCTTTGTTTTTAATTCTCAGAAGTTGAATGATAAGATGTCTTGACATAGATTTCTTTGCATTTATGTAACTTAGGTTGTGTGTGCTTTTTAAAAAAAATAATAGCTTTATTGAGATATCATTTGTATACCATAAAATTTAGTCTGTTAAAATGTACAATTCAGTAGCTCTTGGTATATTTACAGGGTTGTGAAAACTTCACTATCTAATTTTAGAACTTTCACCACCTCAGAAAGAAACCCTACACTTACGACCTGTCGCTTCATCAACCCGCCTACACCCTTAGCAACCACTAATGTACCTTCTGTTTCTATACTGTTGTCCATGCCAGACATTTCACATAAATACCATCATTCAGTATGTGATTTTTTTAAACTAGCTTCCTTTACCTAGCAGCTTTTCAAGTTTCATTCATATTATAACACATTCATATTTAACGTTAATAAAAGTACTTTATTCCTTTTTTAGGGCCAGATAATAGTTGGTTGTATGGAATATATTGTTTACTCACTAGTCAGTTGATAGATTTTTTTTTCTTTTTCTTTTTTATTTTCTTTCGGAGCTGAGGACCAAACTCAGGGCCTTGCCAGCAAGCCCTCTACCACTGAGCTAAATCCCCAACCCTGGGTTGATAGATACTTCTATTGTTCTATTTTTGAAGTACTTATAGCCACAAGTAATGCTGCTATGAACATTTGTGCACAATTTTTGGGTAGACTATTCTCATGTCAGCTATGAGAATGCTGAGAGACAGAGAGACTGTGCATTTTTTTTAAGGAACTGCTAGACTGTTTCCCAAAGGGACCGCAGCATTTGATAACCCTACTAGCAAGGCCTGGGGGTTCCAGCTCCTCCTGTGCTTCCCAATAACATGTGAATTATCATGGTTATCCTACTGGGTATCAAGTGGTACCTCCATGTTTTGACTAATAGCTACTGATACAGAGCTTCTTATCATATTGTTTTACTTCATTTTATTTTTAAAAAATGGGGCTGAGGAGATGGCTCAGAGGTTAAGAGCACTGGCTGTTCTTTGAGAGGTCCTGAGTTCAATTCCCAGCAACCATGTGGTGGCTCACAACCATCTGTAATGGGATCTGATGCCCTCTTCTGATATAAATGAAAATAAAGTATTCATATGCATAAAATAAATAAATATTTTCAAAAATGTATTTCTTGACTAGGTTTGGTGGGAATCACCTTCAGTCTCAGGACTGAAGGCATAGGCGTGTGAATCTTTGTGAGTTTGAGGCCAGCCTTGGTCTCCAAAGCGAATTCCAGAGAAAGGCCCAAAGCTACACAGAGAAACCCTGTCTGGAAAACAAGGAAGGAAGGAAGGAAGGAAATGCTCAATTTTCAGCACTTGCAATAGCTCTATGACCAGTTTGGGGTGACTTTTTATACACTACACGATGTACAGAATCAACTTGACTCCTTGGCATCTGTTTACTCAATCACTACAGCACTATTCTTTCAAAAGGCTATTGTGCCTCCATTTAACTATGTTGAGAGCTTTGTTCAAATGTGCTCAGCTTCTTGAATTATAGGTCTCTATCTTTCAACAAATCTCAGACACTTTCTGCTATTATTTCTTAGAATTTTTTAATCCTTATCCTTCATTCCTCCCTGAAGTCTGATGATTCCACTATTGGACCATTATTGCGGTCACCCAGTTCCATGACACTGTTCGATTGTTTTGCAGGGTGTTCTCTTTGTTAGACTGGATAATTTCTTTACCAAGGTCTTTTTTCTTTTTTCTTTTCCCCCATCTGTCTCCTCTCTTCTGTAGTTAAATTTGTCCCCATATATTTAGCATGACTGTTTCATTTTCAGCTCTAAAAATTCACTTTAATTTTCTTTATATTTTTCTATTTCTTCATCAAGGCTCTCTCTCTTTTTATGTTGTTTGGAGACAGTGTCTGACTGGGTAGCCTTGGCTGGCCTCGAACTCACGGAGTTCTACCTGCCTCTGTCTCCTGAGTGCTGGGATTAAATGTGTGGGCCACTCTGCCAGGCTTCTTGTCAGATAATTCTAACATCACTGTATTCTTTTTTAGATACATCTATTTGTTTTATTTTGTGTATATAAGTGTTTTGCCTGCACATATGTCTGTGCACCACTTATATACTTGGTGCCCATGGAGGTTAGAAGAAGGTATCAGATCCCCTGAAACCGAAATTATGGGTGGTTGTTAGCCACCAAGTGGGTGCTGGGAATCGAACCTGAGTCCTCTGCAAGAGCAGATGGAGCTCTTAACTGCTGAGTCAGCCCACCCGTGCCACCTCTGTGTTCCTGGCTTGTCATCTATCACCCTCCCTCTCGCCCTGCTTGAGATCCTCTTAGTCCTTGGTGAATATTTTCCTGCTCTATCCACGGTATTTGGGGCATTACACTAAAAGATTTAGGATATTTTAATCTCTCTTTTACCTAGCTTTTTCTGAGAGAGTGTTGGCAAGATGAGAGGGTGGAGGGCAGACACTGCATACTACTAACCACCTAAGAGTAGTAATCTAGGCTCTCTTGTCAGGTCTCTGTTGGCATGGCAAAGGGGTGGAAGGTGTCTTAGTTAGGGTTTCTATCGTTATGAAGAGACACCATGACCACGGCAACTCTTATAAAGGAAAACTTTATTTATTTATTTATTTTTTGAGACAGGGTTTCTCTGTGTAGCTTTGCGCCTTTCCTGGAACTCACTTTGGAGACCAGGCTGGCCTCGAACTCACAGAGATCCACCTGGCTCTGCCTCCCAAGTGCTGGGATTAAAGGCGTGCACCACCACCGCCCGGCATAAAGGAAAACTTTAATTGGGGTGGCTTACAGTTTCAGAGGTTCAGTCTATTGTCATCATGACAGGAAGCATGGCGGCGTGCAGGCAGACGTGATGCTGGAGAGGTAGCTAGAGACCTACATCTTGCAGGCAACAGGAAGTCAGCTGAGACACTGGGTGGTATCCTGAGCACAGGAAACCTCAAAGCCTGCCTCCACAGTGACACACTTTCTCCAACAAGACCATACCCACTCCAACAAAGCCACACCTCCTAATAGTGCCACTCCTTATGAGATTATGGGGGCCAATTACATTCAAACTACCACAGAAGGTATCATAATTTTCTTTGATTTCTGCTGACTTAACCAGTTTTTTCCAAAAGTTTTCTGTATTCTGTGCTGTCCCTTCAGCTGGAGAGAGCAGTGTTTTGATGGAACTTTTCTGTTGTTTTGTGTTTTGGTCTGAGCCATTGGTATTTCTAGCTTGTTGAGTCTTCAGTTTCAAGTGAGGGATATATGTAAGGCCAAAGAAAACCCAGAATTCATCATTATGTCATTCCTTGAGTCCCAAGGTCCCGCTTAGTTTGTTTGTTTTCTACCAGAAGCTGCTGCTTCTGTTTGTTTTCTATGTCATGCCCGGGACTCTCAGCTGTACTGAAAAGAGCAGTGAACAGTGTCTGCTTCATCTTCCCAGAAACAGGAGTCGGCGGCGGAGTAGGCCCTTTTTATAAATAGAATTGTATTTTAATTACTAGGAGTTATTAATAGCTCGAAGAACTTTGAAGTTAATCCTTTCCAGCTTAATAACTCCTTAATTTATTATTTTATAAATTAAAGCCTTATATAAGGGTTTGCTTTAAGTAAGAAATACCTATAGATTATTTACATATTCCTAAATGGACTGTAACTGTTCCCTTTCAATACTTTTAAATTCTCCTAAATTATTACTTAGAAAAGATTTTCCTTAATGTTAACCTGGAGATGTTTCAAAGCAGAAGACAATTTCTTAAGCTGTCTAGTGTTAAATAATGAGGAGTTAAGAAGGGGAGTGGGTACAGGGTCAGATGACAGTATCTTCCCAAAAGTATACCTGGAAAAATGGTTCTCAGAAGTATCCTATTTTAAAGCTTGCCTACCTGAAACATTACTTCAGCTCTCTTAGTGAGTTTCTATATAATACTAGCAATTAATAATTACTAAAATAAAATAATTTAATAATGTTAATAAAATTATTAATAAAATAATCAATGTATTGGTAATAATTGCCTATTAAAGACATTTAGCAAGTTTTGGGCTTCCAGGTCTATTTTTTTCAAAATCACCCCCCACAGGTAAACATGGTCTTTTCATTGACTGATGCCCACCAATATTTTTATCTATTGCCTCATCAGGGCCCAGCTACTGCTATTGAACTCCTCATAGGCTTTATCCTATCTAAGACAGAGAAAGTGCAGCTCAGAGAGCCAGACTAAAAGCATGCAGGAGTGATAAAGCTGGCATCTGGAGGCAGGTCGTGGCCTCCTGAGTGTCACAGGTTTTTGATGATGCTGTATTTGACGCAGTAAGCAACTCTTCTTTCCCAAGTGTCTAGTTTCTCACTGTGGTGCCATTTTGTAACTGTTAATGTTCTTCACTTTTACCTTTGTCAACGTTTTCTCCTTAGACAAAAAATAATATAGAAATGAAAGAATATAAAGGTTTTGAGGTTAAAAACGTTTATATACCATCTTAAATTTCTAAATATGTCATTGAGAAATATCAACAATTCTGCAGTTTTAACACACGAAATGTCAAGAGGAAACATCACTGAGTAGTCATTATCATATGCACAAAGGAAAACCAAAATGACAGGAAAGAAAAATTAAATAAGCCATGTTAATAAGACTTTAATGATGAGTAAGAGTTATTATTTAAAACAGATATTTTTAATTTGTACTAGAGGATAGAGACAATGGCCACCTAGATAAACATCTCTACCCAGAACCATTTTACAGTAACATTTCCATTTCAAGGTTATAAAAGAATAAATTCTTGATTTACCTCATCTCATTTTATAACATCTGAGAACCAAGTATTTTTTTAAAAGATTTCGAGGGAATAAATCCTTTTACACACACTAATTAATACTCAACCAGTCCCTCCTCCCTTCCAATTAACTTCATTTATTCCCAAAGTACTATTTAGGTGAATTCATATTAATTGCTTAATAGGTCTTATAACTGTCATTAATAGCTAATCTTTCTGATTAGTTTTTTATGTATATGAGTGTTTTGCTGATGTGTATCTGTACACTATGTGTGTGCCTGGTGTCTGAGGAGGTCAGAAGAGGACATTGGATCCCTTGGAACTGGAATTATGAATAGTTATGATCTTCTATGTGGGTTCAGGAATAGAACACAGGTCTTCTGCAAAAACAAGGGCTCTTACCATCTGAACCATCTCTCCAGCCCCTAATCTTTTAGATTTTTAACAATATTGTATTTTTTTTTAAACTCCAGCATTGTAAGATTCAGTTACCGCAATCCTGATTTATACAAGTCTCTACTCTACAATGCAATCTTTTAAGTGCAAAAATATGACCTGTTTGTATTTTCCTTGCAACAAATTTCCTTGCAGACACACCAAACAGTTCTGAAGAAGGGTTTACATTAAATTGTTTTTCTTAGGAACATATTTTCTCTTAGAAACCACCTTTGCAAAAAAAAAAAAAAAAAAGAAAAAGAAAAGAAAAAAAAAGAAACCACCTTTGCAAGAACACTACTCAGTTATCCAACTTCTATTAAGTTAACGTTGATATGTATATTTTAGTGGTTTTTTTTTTGTTGTTGTTGTTGTTTTTTTTTTGAGACAAGGTTTCTCTGTGTGCTCTTTGCTGTTCTGAACTCTCTCTGAAGACCAGCCTGTCCTGGAACTCAGCAATAGGCCTGCTTCTGCCTCCCAAGTGCTGGGATTAAAGGGGTGCACCACCACGCCCGGCCATATTTTAATTATTTTAAATACTTTGCATTTCTTTTTTTTTTTTTTTTTTTGGTTTTTTCGAGACAGGGTTTCTCTGTGTAGCTTTGCGCCTTTCCTGGAGCTCACTTGGTAGCCCAGGCTGGCCTCGAACTCACAGAGATCCGCCTGACTCTGCCTCCCGAGTGCTGGGATTAAAGGCGTGCGCCACCAACGCCCGGCTTAATACTTTGCATTTCTATGCTCAACTTTCTGATAATAAAAATGATCTTTTAGTCTCAAACTTTGAGCTAAACTAATTGTAATACTAATGAGTATCACAAGAGAAGATTCTTAAATTCTCAATAAATAAGCCGTCTTAAATATTTAGCATTTTCTAGAATTAGGTACTATAATTTTATATATAAAGTGATGAAGAGCAATCAATAACTGCCTAAACAAAAAGTCTGTGAGACTAAGTACTGATGTGAGGCTAATTCTCACTGGCAACTCACCTTAGGAAATAAGGAGCACCTTGCTGTGCACATTTACAGTATTCATACAGAGTAAATTTGTACAAAAACAATCGGGTGGGGGAAGGAGAACAATTTGTATCTATTCATTCCCATCATGGCAACTGGGTTTAAAAATGTCTCCCTCTCCCATTTTAAAACATTTTTTTTTTCAGCTTGACATGACAGGACTTTTCTCACGGTGGCTGTCTCAGGCGAGGAGAGCTCATTATTTCCAAGCTCAAGAAACTAGTTTGACATTAGATACCTACCGAGAGAAGTCAACCGAATTTTCTAAATCATTTGATTGGGTTTATCTAGTGCTAGATCGGCACATCTCCTAAGCCCGTCTGGTACCAAGCGGGCAGCGGGTCGACCGCCCACATCCATCTGCCTCCCTCGTACCGCGGAAGCTGCAACTGGTTCGACTGTGGGTTAGGCGGCCTGTTTGGCTCCGGGGGCTCGGCTGTCACTCGGGGCCGAGAGCGGGGGACACGAGTGTGGCCGGGGCACGTCCCCTCCCTGCGATCTAGGCATTCACACTCCCAGCCCGGGCAGCGGCGGCCGAGCCCTAGGCCGGGCCTGCGTGGCCGCGCGAGGTGGGCGCGGGATCGAGACCGCGGGGTCCGGGCTCGGGGGAAACCGCTGCCGTGCGCCGTCAGACGCAGGCCGGCCAGGCCCAGGCCGCAGTGTGTTCCCAGCCCCGCCGCCGTTGCCAAGGCGACCGCCGCCGAAGATTCCCGCGCCGGGCTCCGCCCCCCGGCCAATCGGACCGGCGCTCGCCCGAGCCCAGATTCTCTTTGTTCCGCAGCCATTTCAGGCCCCGGACGGGAGGCAGCGCCGCTTCGGCAGAAGGCCCGAGCGCCGGAGGCCTCTGGGATGGTGTGGGACCGGGTAGGTGGCGTGAGGGTGTGCGTGGCCGGGGCGGAGGGGCGGAAGCGGCCGAGCGAGCTCCG